GGGCGAGTGATCTTGGTGTCGAGGACGGTCACGCAACATGTGCCCAGGGGTACGACTGACCGGGTACTCTAGTTTTAGGCCGAGTGGACCTTGAATTGCACTTCACAAAATGGCAAAGACAAAGAACCCTTTGTTGAGTCTAACAGACTGTTGGAGCACCAGTGAGTATTTGTCTCCCCAGCGCTGTTATTTACATAACCACGGCAGGTACTCATTTAAGGCTCAGCCGACCTAGGGGAGTCCCAGAACAGGTTTAGATATTCGCCACTACGCTAGCCGTGTCCGTGGATCGAACTCGCGTCCCTGGGTTTATAGCGCAGTGCAATAACCAAGACGCTACCGCTCCCCGTGGGGAAAGCACACGCGTGTGCGCGCGCCCGCCCCCCGCCCGCACACACACACACGCGGGATGCGCGCGCACACACTCAAACAGCCGGACAGCAGCCATCGATCGCCGTCTCATTCATCCGTCTAAGAGGATCTCTGCTGCTGTAATGTGTCCTCTTTCAGCCACTCCAATTCCTGGATTAAAAAAAACGTTCAGCGGACGAGCCGGAGAGAGTGACACAACAAATAAAACGGCAGAGAGTGGAGGGACGAACTGCCACAGCTGTAAAGCACACACACACAAAGCGCCCCCAGCGCATTAACGGCCCAGAGAAAGCGTGAGAGAGAGAGCGAGAGCGAGAATGGGGGGGCGGGGGGGTACGGTCGTCGCGTACAGAAACGGGGAGCGCACCGCGACGCTGCTCGGACGGGGCCCACGTGACGGAACGGGCGGCAGCGGCGAGCCACAGGAACGGAACAAAGGGGGGGGGGGGGGAGATGATAGATCGTCCCGGGCATCATTAGCCGACTTGAAGCACGCATTCGAGCGGAGCGAAATATTCATTTTCCGCGGGAAATAAAGGCCGTCGGCGCAGGATTTGGGCCTGCGCCGATGACGTCCCTGGGGACGGTCCAATCTCTCCGCTGTGGCCGGAGCGACCGCGAGCCCTCGGGGGGCGGGCACGTCGGCACAAACCCTTCACAAGTCTCCAGAAACCTCCAGGCCCCAATTTCATCTCTTCGCTTGCCGAGTGTTTGGCGAGCGCCTCTCGCATCGCACGAATCCACCTGTTGCCACCAAGCGCTGCCGACGACAGCGGCGGCGTTGGGGACGGAGCGCCGGCGTAACACGCCGCCCCTCGCGATGCACCGCCCATTAGCAAGGTTGGCTATGTACGGTGCAAAAGCAGTTCAGCGTACACACACGCCACCGCACGACGCGCCGAGACTTGTGGCTTTCTCCGCCGTTGAATTTACAACGGGAAGTGATTCAGGACGGCTTTACTGCCAAATTGTTCCGTTTTTTTGTTTTACACGATTTAAATTGTGGAATATATTCTGGGTGTGAAAAATAAGGTCGATTGAGATGCGTGAATTTTGATGCGGGAGGGGAGAGGGAGGCCTACCGAGCGAGTCACCAGGAACATCTTCACGGAACTAATGCAGCGGTGCAGCGTCCTGGGCGGCGCCCATTAGCGCGTCGCGCGGCTAATGTGCACACGCGCGCACACACACACACACGCATGCGTATGTAGCCAGACGCACAAAGAGACGATGATCTCTCGTATAGCCTTGAGTGCTGTTAGCGAGCACCTGTTAGCGAGTACACCAGGGGGTGGGTGGCCATCACCACGCCTGGCCACCTTTGTTTCCCCAAAGGTGATGTTTATCAACCAGGTCCGGCGCAGATAATCATAACCGGTGTTCGTACCACAGCGCGCTAATCGCTACACTACCGTTCCCCACTACACACATACGAACGCACACAATCACGCGGACCCACAGACTCGCACAGAGATCCAAGACAGAGAACCCCGTACAGCCTTCTCCAGTGCTGTTAGCGCTCGCTGTGGGTGTGAGAATGGACCACGCGCGCGTGTTAAGGATAAAACGGTATACGAAGGCGCTGTGTGGCTCTCACCGCACACAGCCACCTTTGTCTCTCCTGTAACGATCTATAAATGTACAATGCGCAAGCGTCCATTGGTCACGCTCTGTGTCTCCTACAGGGTTCTCCGTTTCAAGACAAAACGTGAAACACAAATAGTCCTCTTGGCAGTGCTCCTGGCTTCATAATAATCAACGCCACCAGAGAGACTCAAGGCTAAGAAATCTTAGGAAAAGTTCCTTTGTATATATCGCTGACGTTAGTCGTGGCCGAGGATGAACCTAGTTCATCGTATTCGCCAATGTCATGCGCTAACCACTGCGCCACCGCTACCCACACACACAATGCCCATAAGCACACACGCGCTCGCTCGCACACGCATCAACACACACGCGCACGCATCAACACACACGCGCACATGTGAAGTGTGAAGACGTGCAAGTACGCACGCGCGCGTGGTCCATTCTCACACCGACAGCGAGCGCAAACTATCGCGCGTGATCTCGGCTCCATCGCTGGCGCTCGCTCCCTCACACACCCGCCCACCCACCCACACATCTGCCCACCAACTCGCCGCATCGCACACCCCGGCCACACCATTATGAGTAAAGCTACCAGCGGTAAATACTAAACAAAGCTGCGCCGTTTGTTCTCAACTTGCTTTGAAGAGAGCCCAGCGCCCGCGGCATCGACCCGGCAGTCCGCGAGCCAAACGCCACCACTAGCGGCCAATTTCCCGCCACGAGCGTTTAACACCGGAGTGCAAAAACCCGCGGCATGACAGAGAGCGACCGCGCGACTTGGCACTCGGGTAAACCTCCTCCTCGATCGCGGCGGTGGCGTGTGTAGTGACGGTGGCACCGGCCCCAGACACCTCACAACCGGAACTCAACGCAGCAGCCACATCACCACCGCCGCCCAAAGCCACGAACCCCTCGCCAGAAAATGTGCGACCGAGTGCCGGCACACACCCATATATATTTTAATATGAGTAGTATTAATATTTTTTTATTGCAGTTTGTTTTTGGCAGAGAGCGCTCGCGAGGATACGCTCGTTTTAGGAGCGCGAGGTGATGTCATCTGGGCCTGGCCGGCCTGCGCGATTATTAACTTCCATTGGAAGCCCTTTCCCCCCGGGGACGATGATTAACAAACGTCGCCTGGCATCCAACAACTTATTTCTGGTTGCCCAGTGGGCCAGCCAAGAAACAGTTTTGGCCGTAAAGGAGGCCAGAGGATTCTGCTCCGAGTTGCGATTACATCACCGTGTCTTGGTAACGTGGTAAATAAAGGCCGTTCGTGCGCGCAGCCCAGAGGACGGAGCCCTCTTTCCATCCCCGCCATCGCCTTAATTACATTCCACTGCCGTCGATTTGCATTAAAACCCAAATATTTCAGACGGAACATTAAAACGGCTCGCCGTGGGACCGCCGCCGCCACGATGAACATTTCCGATGCCGCCTAAAATAAAGGAATGAAGACAATAAAAAAAGAATAAAGATCCCAAAATCAGCCCCGGCTGGGTTCAGTTAAAACACGCGGCTCTGGCGTGAGCGGCGGGCGACGGCGTGGCGCTCGTTGCCTCCGTGGGGTTTGCCGTGGCGGCGCGGTGACCGCGTAAACAAGGCCCAGGGAGGGCTCTGGAAATGGTGTTCATACGCGGTCAATTTTTCAGCCAACAAAGGAGATTTCACGACAAGCAATGAAAGAAATAAAGCGCAGACCGGCGTGGACGACGCTGCTCCGCCGTCATCCGGGCCCGAGCGGCCACGCTCGGGGAGACCGCGCCGAGCGGAGGAGACGCGAAGGCGACGTGGCCATCCCCGCCACACCGGGACGGGCGTCGTCCCAATTACACGTCATTTCAATGTGCCGTGTGATCACTTGACGCGTGCGATTTGTAATCGATATCTGAATTACACACCTCAATGTGTATCTCAATAACGCGACGTGCGGTCTATTGTCCACGTGCATCTGCATCACACCGCTGCAGTAATTTGTAATTTGAGAGTATTTTCTCATCTCCGCGGCACCGTGACAGCTTATGGCTCAAGGTTAAAGAGATGACAAAATCTATCTCTACTCACAGGTAGCGTAATTGATCACTGGAAGGGGCTGGAAGCTGTGATGATGATTATAGCAGTAGTGGAGTGGTGATGATGATGATGATTGTGGTGGAAGCGGTGATGATGCTGCACCAGAGCTGGGCTCCACCGGTTCCCCTGGGAAGCTGCGTGGGCCGCAAGTGCCCGGCGCTGCCGGAGAAAGCGCTGACGATGGTGAAGCCCCTGCCAGCGCATTCCAGTTTCTCAGTGGGGTCTCTTTGCGAGTCTCCGGTTCTCTATGTGAATCTGTGGGTCTCTCTGTGAGTTTCTGGGTCTGTGCTCGTGTGGGTCCGTCTGCGAGTCCGTGGGTCTCCGTGCGTGTCTCTGGGTTTCAATACGATTCATCGAAGCGAGCGCATTCCAGTGTCTCAACGAATCCACCCGTACGCGTTATCACGCAACCCCGTGAAATCCAGCGGTGGAGTTTATGATGTCTCCAACCTGGAGCCACGCGAGCCGTCGCTGGCACCGCGCCACTGCTAAATCCGGAGAGTGGCGGCTGGCACGGGCCTCCGGCGACCTCCCCGCCCCCCACGGCCCGCTCCCCCCCGCCGCCCCCGCTCCGTCTCCGCCGGCGAGCATCGCAATACCGAAACCCATCAGGGCGCGCGGTTTACGAGGCGCGCCGCCGCTCAAATGAAAATTTCACGGTCTCCCAGGGTCGCTCCCAAACATTTTACGCCTCCCTCGCCGTCGATTGACGGCCGCCGGCGTCCATCACCCGCGGCGATCAATGGGGGCGGCCCCCGTCGCACGTCGCCCCCTCTTTTCGGGGCGCAAATTCTGTTTGAATAGGACGTACGTCCAACGCGCGCGCCGTGCTGTTTTAAAAGCTTTGCTTTAAGCCGCTCGTAATCTCCCGTCGGCCTCCCCGCTGGCTCGTTTCCCCCCCGCCCCGGCCCATCCAGGAATCTATAACCTCCCGTCATTTATTGCTTCCTAACGCCTGCATTAGTTACCTCTTCTGGCGACCGCTTCCTCCCCGGTGTGGGCCGGCGCGTGGGCAGCGGCGGCGGCGGCCGAGCGAGCGAGCGCGCGCAGGAAGGGGCCTCCGAGGATTCCGCGAGGCTCAGCGTCCCGGAGTCGTCGGCGGAGAAAATTATTCACCGGTCAAACGTCTGGGGATAAAAAAAAACAAACACGGCAACCGATACGGATTAAAAAACAAACACCGCGAGTAGTAAATAAACCTCTTTGCTCTCGCCCGGCGCTTATTGCAACGGCGAATAAATAAACCGGAGCAAAAGGCAGCGACGAAAAACACGGGGAGTCATTAAATGTTAAGAATAACAGCGAGAACGCCGGCATTGCTCTGGAGGAGGGCGCGAGCCAAGAGCCCGGGCGCGCAGGTGAACGCGGCCCGCGGCACGGCACAGCGGTGGGGAAAGTCCACATTCCCGTGACAGAGGCCAAACCACCCGGAGGACACGGCCGCTGTTGACATTCCACAAAGTGTTTCTCGACTTATCGGCCACGGCGGGATGATGCGTCGAGTCAGCCGAGGAGCGGGAGATGACGTCGCAGATCGACGTCGATCGGTCAGCTCACGGCGCGCGCGTGGGACCGCGTGGGACCGCGTGGGACCGCGTGGGACCGCGCGCGACCGCGTGGGACCGCGCGCGAAACATCGCTTCCAGTTCATACGTTGGATGTCACTGCTCCGTGTGGACCCCGCAGCCACCGGTGGCCGCTAAACACACCTCCTGCACACCTGTAATTGTAATGACATCGGCAATAGGAGTCCCAGCCAGATCACCCTAAATGCGCGCAATCTCAAACGCTCTCCCAAGCCACCGGCAAGGCTTGCCAGGTGTTGTAGGCGCGAGGCTGCAAGGTGCAACAGGGAGGTGGCGGTGCGGAGCCGCTCCCCACCCCCCCACCACCCCTCGCCCCGTGTAGGAGGGAAACAGTGGTTTCTGGAATTGGTCAAACGCCCCAATGGAACAGCAGCCTCCTGAAAAGGAGTCTTGAGACTCACGACTGGCATTGCTGATTACGAGCTCTATGGCCACGCGGCATGCGATCGCACGCACAACACATCCGCCAATAACACTGCCCTGATGAGGAGAGCGTATCACGGATGAGGTTTCGCACCGTGACCCTTGCTGGCAGCAGTGAGCCCTGCGTGTGAGTGTGAGTGCAGCACTGTCACCATTATTCTTGGTTTCTTAGCAAATTCACCAAGATAAGGAGTGCATCCAGCACTCACCGATTCACTGCAGCCACTCTCTCGCCTCCTCGTCACTTCTCCATCACCATTACCATGGTTACTCATCGATTCCCCATCTCGCATTGAGGACTCGAGTCTATGCCAGACTGTGACTCTTTCGTCTCAGCCACGCTGCGTGCAAACATCATCACACCGCAGGTCACAACAATGTACGCACTCACCCGTTCACTCACACACTCACTCACCTACTTATCCACTCACCCACCCACTCACCAACCCGCCTACATCAGCCACTCACCACCCTGAAGGTCACACCACTTCTCTCTGCTTCCGACCCCGCACTGCTCCAATTTGGAATTCATCTCCCATCACCATCGGCCTCTTTTCCCCCCCAAGCTCTTCTCATAACGACGACAACCTCGCTCGGTTCCAGACACGTGTTGGCAAATCTTAATGCTTGACGATGTAGATCATAGCGCTGTTTGTTGCTGGCCCGCGTGACGTTCTGGGCCCTGCACTCAGCACCCGTGGTTTTTATAAATGTTTTTATAAAACGGGACCCGGCGTGGACACGCGTGGGGGGTTATCCGGAGGGAAACAGCCCGCATCCAGCCACGTTCCAAGCCGTGTTTGGCAGAGAGACACGCGCGCCCCACGCGCAAGCGCCGCCAGCAGCGCAGGTAGCGTTTCATCGCGGCGCCGTGCGACCACGCTGCCGGGCGGCTCTTGCGCACTCGCACGCACGCGGCGCCGCATCATCGCCGCGCCGTTATTATTTTGGCTCCCGGGCCAGGCCCACCACGGCGGGGTCCGCATATTTATTTCTGCTCGCGTCCGCCCCGCGAAACGCACACCGCGTCCACACGTACGGCTCCACCTAAACAAACACGGCGCGCGGAGGTAGCGCTCGTAATAATAATAGTAGTAGTAGTACGAGTAGCGGTAGTCGTCGTGCGAATAGCGAACGTGGAGTTGGACCTGACGGTGGCGGGCGGCCAGAACGGTTGGGTTCGCGTGCCAAATCAGATCGGCAGGGCAGGGGCCGTGGTTAGCACGTGGCCACAACCAACCCCCACCCCCGCATGGCCCCCCACCCAACACCTACGAAATGAATCGCCTTGTTTGGTGACGCAATGGAACGAGTACGCCGGCCGCAGCCGCCACATTTAAATAACGAGCGCAAACAATTTACGGCCGGTGGCGGGGGCGGGGAGGGTCGCCGTGTTTACACAACCCGCTCGGGTTTTCGAGAAAACAGCCGCTCTAGAAATCGCCGGATTCGAGGTTTCCTGCGGAGCTCACGGACGCGAGGATCCCACTCGCTCTCCCACGTGGCCGCGCGGACCGCAGGGGTCCGCCGAATTGGGCTCCGTGCATCCGCTGCACCTCTCTGTCCCGGCAGCGCTCTCGGCGGCACGGGATTAAGAAGCCGCTCGGAACTGCGCACGCGGCGCGCAGCCCTTCGTGCGAGCGGACGGCTCACGGAAGCGGATATCGAAGAGCTACCCTTGAGAGCCCTTCAAATGATCTCCGGTTCACACACAGCCGGGGGCTGAGACCGTCCACTCGCTACGCTCGAGAACTCGGTTACGCTTAACACGGGCGGGACGCTGCCTGGATTCAAACCCAGGGTCTCGGCGTTGCCGGCTCAGCGCTCTGACCTCCGGCTGTTAGCGAGCAGAGATCTGGGTTCCATTCCCAGCCGCGGGAAACATTACAGCAAGCGTTGTGTGTGCGTGTGCATAGGTGCACGTGCGTGTAGATGGTAGGGGTGGGCGAGTGGAGTCTCGAGGCTAGTGCACTGTGCTACAGAGCCAGCGACCCGGGTTCGATTCCTGGCCACAGCTCACATCAGTGGCAGGCGACATCCGAACCGGTGCTTTGTAGCCACGAGCACCTGTTAAGCCGACATGGCGTACGCGGGTTGGTACGGTGTTGCCTTTGTCTCTCTCGTGCTGATGTCTCCCAGGTCTTCCATTCTTCCCAGGTCCCCCGTGCCCCCTCACCCCAGGTCTCCCGGGTCCCCAAAGGTCCCCCAGGTCATCCAGTTCCCCCGTGTCTCCCGACAGACGTGGTGGTTATACTGGGAAGCACCGCTCGCTCCCGGCGCTGGAACTGGCTTCACGAATTCGAAGCCAGTGCCGGAAATGTCCTCCCTTGTCCCACCTCTGACACGTGCAACCAACACGCGCCAAAACAAACACCGCACCGAGTTTGGAATAAGCGCGCGCCGCGGTTTACTCGGCGCTTCACAATGAACACGCAACGCGGCGCTTCACAATCAACACGCAACGCGGCGCTACGCCCCCGTCGGTCGGACCGACAGACGGCACCACGAGCCCTTCCCATTCCGCCGCCCATTGCGACCCCAACCGCTGGAACGATCGGCAAGCCGCCGCCACCGCCGCCACCGCTGCCGCCAGCGAAGATGAACGATGCGCTCCGAAAGGGGCTCGGCAACCCCGCGGCGCAAGCCGCGCGCCGCGACTCCTAAGGAATAGCGGCCAATTCCCACGATTAGATTTGCGTTCGTTTCATTTTCCTCTCTCGTGCTCCGAGCGTCGTTGCGACGCGAGGCTTGGGGAGGGTTCGGGGCGGTGGCTCGGGGTTGGGACGCCATTTGAAATATCTCGGAGTCACCCTTCAAAATGAGATTTTTCAGAGATTATATTTTGGCGGCAGCTCGCGAACGCGAATGTGAAGCGTAATGGTGGGGCGAGGTGGGGTGGGTGAGCGTGGTGGGGCGAGGTGGGGCGAGGTGGGGTGGGTGAGCGTGGTGGGGTGGGTGAGCGTGGTGGGGTGATGTGGGGTGAGGTGGGGTGGGTGAGCGAGGTGGGGTGGGTGAGCGTGGTGGGGCGAGGTGGGGCGAGGTGGGGTGGGTGAGCGTGGTGGGGTGGGTGAGCGTGGTGGGGTGAGGTGGGGTGGGGTGAAGTGGGGTGGGGTGGGTGAGCGAGGTGGGGTGGGTGAGCGTGGTGGGGTGAGGTGGGTGTTAGTGGTAGCTGCGGGGGTAGAAAGGGGGTGAGGACGATGGAACAGACCCCCCCCTACCACTACCCCCCACTTACTCCAAGAAAAAACAAATACCTTGGCCGACCACAATTGGTGGCGTTAACGATCTCAGGAGCACGGCAGCAACTGCCTTCAATCATTTCCTGGAATTTCGGCTTTCCCCATCGTCCGGTCCGTCCTCGTGAGCCCAGTGCGCGCCGTACCCCCCTTCCCCTCGCGCCGTTCCTCACCGCTACGCGAGCAGCCCGCCGCTCGCCTGCACATCCGTAGCAGACGCGAAGCCGCTCCGAGCCACGATCGATCGTGTCCTCCCGCTCGCGGTTCGACGAGACGCGGACCCCCCCCCCCCCGCCGACTGTCACGCGGGAACCCAGGGTCCCGTGTGGACCCCGGGAGCCCTCGGCTTCCTGCACCGCGCCACTTTGCGCGGCACTTTACGAACAAAAATGTTTTCGACGATTATCGGCGCGATTGCACGCTGGCCGTGTTTAACGCCGCGCTTTGCCGACACTGGCCAATAAAGATAACCGAACAAAAGAGGAAACGGCATTTGGCGGCTTTGTTGTTTTATTTTCTTTTTCTACGGCACGACCGCCGCGCGCGCATCGGCCGCAGCGGCGCGGTTCACGTGAGCCGGGCAAACCCCGTTTTCCAGAGCACCGCTGCCGCTCGGCTCTCACCTCGCTCCGGCACGACGACGGTGGCCTAGGGCGTTGGCCGCCGCGTGTTTATTCTGCGCAGCTTCAGAGTTATGCGGCCTTTTCACGGCAAACCGGTTACCCTGCGCGGAAGTCCTCGCTCGGGATAAATCGCTCGCAGAATCTTTACAACGCCGATGAACGTTCATCGCCGATTGCCGAAGGATGGCGATGTCGAGCGAAAGTTCGATTTTCAGTGCGAGAAGAGGGCTCGGGCCCCCGCCGTCACCGGACCGATCGT